TTAATTAAAATAAGATAAAAAATAAAGAATTTATTTTATAAATTAAACAACTAAATGGGCCAATACTTGGAGTTGCTTTCATTATTCCCAACTTCCCACTTCTCACATCATATACTCATTAGAATATCATAGGATTTGTAAGGCTAAGAATTGGGTAAAAAGCTATCAGACCTTCTAATTCTAGAGCTTAGTATTGACTGATAATTTTTTTTTTTTTTTGATCTTTCTAATTTCTTCAAGTTCGAATTGGATTATATTATTGGATATTTGATAATATAGCAAATCGAATATGAATTTAACAGTTTGATATCCATTGGATCATCAGATTTGATCGAATATGGGTAGATTCAATCAATTTACAACTCTAAGTGCAATGTGAGTACAATAATATTTTTTTGACTATAATTTACTTAAAACCAATAGTTTATGTAACTAAAAAAATCCTACTCCTATTTGTACATTAAACTACTTAGAAAAAAATAGTTGTTGCTTATCCAAACAAATAAATTAGAAAGGAAATAATCAAATACGGGTGTTTCTTTGGCATGTTTCCCTTGCTAATTTTTTCATCGCACGCAAATCACTAAAACTGGCACAACATACGTGATAATTTAGTGTTGAACCACTCATCTTATGGGTAAAGCTACTTTGTCATAAAAATGTGGACAGCTGTCTTGACATAGTGCATGTTGACAAGATATGATTGGATGGAAAAATTGACTGTGTTTTAAACAATTTAATAATAAAATGTCATGTGCCAATATGCCAAGAATTATGTCAAGCTCTCTGACACTATCATGATTCTCGTCTAATTATTTAGCGTTCGTTTGGCCCCCATTATTTCACGTTATCACGAGAGGAATAGTAATTTTTTTGAAGAATGTGTGGTTAAAAAAGAAGAATTTTTTTTTTGAATTTACGTGTAATATTATTTTATTGAAAAATGCGTAGTTGATAAGAAAAGAGAAAAAAATGAATTATAATTTATTGGGGACCAAACGAGCTTAATATATTTATACACACACTTTAGTGTTAAAGCATTGGCAATATATAATCTCATGCACAATGTGAATTAATTTTTCCATCAAAGACAAATATAAAAAATATTAACTTTCAAGTATTTGTTTGTCTTTTATCTTAATTTCATATTTAAATACACAATGGAATAGGGCGAAAGGATCCACACCTCAAATTTAGTAAGAATAAACAAAGATGGGTGACGAAATAAATTGTCCGAATCGCCGTCATAAAATGGAGATAATTGGTACTATTATTTTTAGAGGTGAGAAATTGGTGGACTGAAACATTTCTCTGAGGAAGAGTACATACCAAGTTGCAATACATAGGTCCACTTCACTGGACTGATGTTGATAAATGCTAAAGAGCAACCAAGCCCCAACAATGGCAGTACTATCATGAATTTTTCCAAGAGAAGATGCAATTTTCAAAGAAACCATTAATCCTTTCACAAGAAAACACACCACTTTGAATTATGTCC